TGAAATATTGTTGTTGGATATTGATAATATTCGATTGTTGTTATTTGTTGATGATGATGAAATATTGTTGTTGGATATTGATAATGATCGATTGATGTCATTTGATGCCGTCGCAATTACATTTGAACATGCTGTTGAAGCATCAAGATTCTCCTCAAAATCAATAATTTGACGATCTTTACTTTTATTCTTTCCTTTTCGTTTCATTTTTAAAATGTTTTTCTAAAAATAAAAAATATTCACACATTTGCATGTTGAAATATATTTCATGATTGAATTTATAAAACTACATTATAATACTCAAATAGAAACTTCATATGAAGGCTACATTTTATATGCCACTGAAAAAAAATGACATCGTTCGAAACAACGTGATTAAGAAAAAGACAACAATTTTTTTCGAAAAATAAAATTCAAAATTTGTGAAATACTCGATCTGTTCGAAAATAGATATTAAAATTTCAATAGAATTAATGAAAAAAATATGAACAAAATACTGTAGGAATATTCTTACTTTAATCGCGTTTATCAATCATTAACGCAACTTATACGAATCCACGCCCTGTTCTAAGCGTACTATTGAAAGAATCGAGAAAAATTGACAGAGAGTGAACACAAATATAAAACTCAAGCATATTCAATTTTTTATTTAAACTATACTATCGGTTTATTCTTAAAATAAATAAAGTATAAATAATAGTATGCAAGCAGAACAGAAAAAAGATGTATATTTAAACGAAATAATATCAAATGCACTACGTGTGGCGCCCTCTGATTTTTTGGAATGGGCTGAATGTAAAAATTGATAGTAATCGATAGAGAAAATTATTCTCTATCGAGCTGCGCTTCCAGTTTTTTCTAAAAAAAATGTCTAAACATAGAAATAATCGCCACAGTTAAATCAATCCAAAAACAGATCATCTTTACTGGCTTCAGCATGGCAGTGATAACACAAAATGGCGGCTCCATCCAATAAGTAATCATCATAATATTTTATTCTCTGCTTAATTGAAACTGATTTTGATTTTTGACGATCAACTTGATCGTTACATTTATTTCAAGTATTATTTTTTTCCAAATAACAAAAGAAATACAATAAATGCATATGCAGACATGCATAGAAACAGAAAAATACGATATATTCAATTATAGAAACAAAAAAAAGACAAAAAAAATGATTGCTTGTGCTTCAATATTGACTCATAATTTTTTCTAAAACGTGTTGATTATTGTATCTTGATTTCGCTGGAAGAAGAGGTGTTTTCTAAAAGATAAATCAAAAAATATGATGCAATGCACAGTCAAAAGACAAGTGTTATCAAAATTGTTGAAATTGGTCCTAATATCAATTGTATTTTTAAAACAAAATACATTGAATTAATGATAATGCTAATAATACAAGCTCGTTAATGCTTTTTTTCACTCTTATTCAAACACAAATGAAAAAGGTTAGCATTGTATAAAAATATTTTTTTCTTTTCTATTTTATTCATATAGTGACGTTCACAAATACTGTAATATGATAACAACATAACTTTCTCTCTTTCGCCTCGCATTGCACTGTTTGTCAACATGACTATATGAATAAAAAAGAAAAGAAAAAAAATATTCGCATACAATGCTAATCTTTTTTTCATCTATGTTTGGAAATGGTGTGTTGAACACATTGTGAGCGCACAGTTTTCCTTTTCGATAAAAGTAGAAAAAAAGATAAACGAACTCGTGTTATCAGCGTTATCATTCGTGTTTTTGGAGTGGAATATAAAAACAGAAGAACATGTAGTCCAATCTATGCATGTACAATAATAAAAATCTTTTGTGTATTGATAGAACAATAGTAGCATAGTGCGCTATCCTTCTATGTGGGTGTGGATCTTCCCTTTATTAATACCCAAATCCACCCACACACCCACACATCCACACACCCACACTCTCGTTGCACCGGTTGATCGGTGCAGCCGGGGACCGTTTCACCGGTTGATCGATGTAACCGGGGATCATTTCACCGGTTGATCGGTGTAACCGGAGATCGTTTCACCGGTTGATCCGTATAATCGGGGATCGTTTCACCCGTTGATCGGCATAACCGGAGATCGTTTCACCGGTTGCTCCGTATAATCGGGGATCGTTTCACCCGTTGATCGGCATAACCGGGGATTGTTTCACCGGTTGATCGGTGCAGCCGGGGACCGTTTCACCGGTTGATCGGTGTAGCCTGGGATCGTTTCACCGGTTGATCGGTGTAACCGGGGAGCGTTTGACCGGTTGATCGGTATAACCGGGGCTCGTTTCACCTGTTGATCGGTGTCACCGGGGATCGTTTCACCGGTTGATCAGTGTAACCGGGGATCGTTTCACCAGTTGATCGGTCTGATCGTTCACCGTTTCGGAGCGGTGAAACGGTGACGGTGGAGCGATCATTGATCGTCACCGTTGCATCCCTAGTACGAACATACGAACTTTGCTCGGTGTATGACCCTCCTTTCAGTAGAGGGAACAAGAAAACAACAAAATTTTCGGTCAAACGTAGAGCACTTCCGCTTATACCTGCATATAGCATGACAACACATAAAAGCCAAGGCCAAACACTCGGTAAAATTATCGTTGATCTTGTCATGCCCCCTGGTCCACTCGAAGTTGCATCGGTTTACGTTCAATTATCTCGTGTAAAGAGACTTGGCGATTTACTTATCATACGTCCATTTGAATTCGCAACACTTCAAGTTAAACCATCAACGGCCCAAATAGAAGAACTTAAACGCTTAGATAGAATAGCACAAAACACTAGGAAACGCTTCCAGTTCATTATTTAAAACAACAAGTCTAGGAGTGCCATGATCTTCACAAAAACTATCTAACTCATAGAAAAACTTTATATTGCATGCTCGAAATATGTTCATTTCATTTTTCTATTCTATAGATCATTTGGAAAACTTGTATGTAATTCTATTTCAAATAAAAGTTATCAAGATAAAAAGAGGATGAAAAGAATTTGAAGCATGTCATCAAACTGTATCTATACAAAGTAATTGTCACTTGTGGATTCAACCTACACTCTAAACAGCATATGATAGCTATACAGTACAACCGAATTAGATATGACACAAGTCACATAAGAAAATTTTTTAAAGTAATATTTTCAGATAACCCCGACAAAGTGAACGAAATTTTTTACCAATATCTGCACTCACAGCGGCAAGTATTCTCTCAAGTTATTCCGTCGTAACAAAGCGATACACTAGATCGAGAGCTAAAAGCAACAGAGCAACTCTCGTTTCACTAAACGAACTTTCAGTAACAGCCAGCAAAATAATATCAGCTGTCAGTCATGATTAAAATCTTCACAAAACACAAAAGAATGCTCTCCCAATAAGTTTCACACCCATATTCAAATCTAAACTTTTAGTTTGACATACATTCAACTATCCATCTCGTAGAACAATAAGCCACCTGGACAGGTTGGTGAGGGCATACAGAGATACAGGAATATAAAAATCGAACTGCCATCCTTCACTATCATAATCATGGACTTAATATCCACCATCACCGGCGAAATTTATAA